CTGACACCACATTGCATTGTAGTTTTTCCTAGTCTTTTTATTTTTCATAATTCTTTATTTTTGCAATGACAGAAGTTGTGACATATCCACTGTATAAAGGCTTGTGCAAAAGTCTGAGCATGGTACAAATATCTGCAGTTGGTACAGAAAAAAAGAATATACATGGCATGTCATACTTTCACCTGTGGCGTGGTTGCTGTCTGTCAAAGGTTTTTTGATGTATGAGGAAACATGAAAACACAAGTAACAATAAGTAACAATGAGTCTCATAAAGGTAACATAGTTGCGTTTCAGTAGCTTGTTAGGGAGTTCAGTAGACCGAGGTACCGGATATCTTGGCCTAGTAGAGGGAGAGTTGGATATTTGGGGTGTAGAGGGGATTGGCGTGGGGGGGGGGAGGGGTGAGCAGAAAGGCTTAGGATAGTGCCTTGGTCAGTGTATCGTCTGTTGGGTCGTTGGTCGGTCCAATTGTCCCTTTATTGTTTGTCAATATAGTTTTCCCAAGGTTCCCACGTCTTGGAGAACGTCTTCATGGAGCCTCGTATTTAGTCAGTCAGTTTGTCCATAAAGTGGCATTCTTTAATTTTGTTGAGCACCGTGGTTATGGGGGGTGTGGTGGGTCGTAGCCAGGTTTGGGCTATGGCCTATCTAGCTGCTAGGGTGATTTTGTTAAACAGCAGTCGTTCTGACCTAGACCAGTTGTCAAAGAGTTTTATAAGTATATTATACTTGTTAGTGTATTAGTGTGCATCCTTATTTTGTTGAATATATAAAGGTTTCTCACCTAAACGTGTTTCCACATACATTGCAATATCATACTATTTCAGTCACAAACAGGGATTGCAAAATAGTTACATTTCATTTTGGATCTACTTTTATCTACTGTTTGCAGTATTTCACAACTAATTATACAGCTTTTAGAGAGTTCAGATTACATAGAAATGGAAACAGATAAGTTATCTGTAAGTGTATCTTTCATGATACATACAAGTTTGTTTAAAATTACTACATAAAATTTATTCTATACATTGCGCTATGAGCATTGATAGTAAATGTACTGATTTTATCATAAATAAATCATCTCCGCATGACATGAGTAACAAGGGAGAGCAGTAAAACCATCCGAGGAAGTAAAACCAATCCTTTGCTTTCCATCACAGCAACTACAGCTTGTGTACTTTAGTGACTGTAATTACTCACATGTTATCCCTGTCCTATTCCTGTCAATACTTAAACCCCATTCTTCTCTGAAATTGATAAATTGAACAGCAACAAGCAAGGCCTTAACAAGTATTGCTGTCACAATATATATCCCATGACACCAATCACACAGATTAGTGGATTAAGTGCAGTGTAGTGTCACTGTAAGGGTCCATTCAAGACTTCATATGACTGAAGGTAAAGGTATGATGCAGGCAATGAATTTGCAGCTAAACATGAGCTCTTTTATGAAGCATGGACATGTGAATTGCTTTATTGAAAAATTGACATGTGATTTAACTGAAAGCTGAACTCATAGAGTCAGTTTAGCAGTACGTCTATAAATGTGAATTCCAGAATGTCAATCATTTACTTTCCGTAGTGAAACAGTTGCCACATACTTTTATGCTATGTGTAAGCCAGTCAGACAGGAGCCCGTGACGCCTACTTCCCAAATGTCCTGATTTCGTCAGGGTTTCTTTAATCTGGTGTGCTGTTTGGGGAACCCCCGAATGAAACACTAAAAACGAAATAAACTTACTTGTGATGTGCTAGGCCAAAGGTCAGTCCAGATATATAAATATTAAGGTTCTGCATGTCCAACAAGGTAAGTTAATATATAACAAATCCAGACTCCAGATATGCCATGCTACTGATGAAATACACTAGGGTTTATCCATTAAACACCAATTTGTAGGGCATTGACAAACTGATTTGCAAAATTAATGGAAATATAGCTGATTTGACTAAATTCACAGACTCAGCTATAGCTACAACTTGATCGTTTTGCCTAAAATTTGCAATACAGCTTTTAATTTACTGTAATTTGCTGTTTAGTGTATACAGTCTAATGCAGTATATCTTCTAACCTTGCCACCTGTGAATCAGACTGCAGGGTAGTGTCTGAGTGAGGGGATGTCATCTAGCATGTACATGCATCATCACTTTTCATCACAAAGGTTGGCTTGGTATATTACAGGGGGTGGATGTTGTGTGTTGTACGACGGTGGGTATGTAATGAGGTTGGTGGGTGTACATAACTGGTAGTGAGCATGGCACAGGATGAGTGTATGTGACTAATGTATGGAACTATTAAAGTAGTTCAAAGAAAACGTTAAGTGATGAAGGAGTTAACTTTCTTATGCCGTGGTTATTGTTGGCATTATCAGGAAAGCAGAAGATGTTTAAGGTATGATGCAGCTCAGAAATGCAGGGTTTAAAGGATCACTATAGGTTCAGGAACATAAACATGTATTCTTGACCCTATAGTGCTAAACCCACCATTTAGTTGGCGTGTCCCCTCTTAGCCCCCCTATAAAAGTTTAAAACTCACCTTATTTCCAGTGCCTCCCATGTCCGCCGGCGCTGGCTCCGGCCCCTTTGTGACATCAGCCAAATGGCCGATTTTTAGCCATAGGAAAAGCATTGGATTGGCTAAAATCGGCATGGGGTGGGGCCAAAATGCTATTTTGGCCAATCAGGACCTCCTCATAGAGCCAGGAAGCCATCTAAGGAATGGTCACTTGGAAGTGTCCCTAGGGGCAATGTAAACACTGCCTTTTCTCTGAAAAGGCAGTGTTTACATGAAAATGCCTGAAGGGAGCTATTATACTCACCAGAACAAGTACATTAATCTGTAGTTGTTCTGGTGACTATAGTGTCCCTTTAATGTAGAATTCTTCGTGTTTGCAAGTATTACTGAAGGAGATCAGCTAACCTACAGGCAATGATACACTCTATACCATGGGTTGTCAACCTGGTCCCTACTGCCCACTAGTGGGCGTTTCAGGATTCCAGGTGGGTGGTAGGGATTTTCTAATTTTGACAGATTGGGCTGGCAGGTGTGAGCCGGCGGTACCCCTGAGACCGGGTACCGCCATCACCACTTGGGAGGCGAAGTCTAGAACACCAGAAATATTGAATTAAAAAACAAAAAAAAAGTCACAAATGTAAAAAACTTGCACTGCTATTTTTGGTAATTTTTTTCACTTACAGGCTTCTTTGAGAAAGGCAGCAGGAGTGTTGCTGAAACGTTGGGGGATTGGTGACTTGTGTTCTGTCCTAGTAGGCTTGTTTAGTGGTGGTAATTATACTTGTATTCGTGCCTCTTTTTGTTAGTTTTAATTTCATTTATTTTTTGTATATTTGTTTATTGGTAAATCTAATAATGAATTTATAAGTATATTATACTTGTTAGTGTATTAGTGTGCATCCTTATTTTGTTGAATATATAAAGGTTTCTCACTTAAACGTGTTTCCACATACATTGCAATATCATACTATTTCAGTCACAAACAGGGATTGCAAAATAGTTACATTTCATTTTGGATCTACTTTTATCTACTGTTTGCAGTATTTCACAACTAATTATACAGCTTTTAGAGAGTTCAGATTACATAGAGATGGAAACAGATAAGTTATCTGTAAGTGTATCTTTCATGATACATACAAGTTTGTTTAAAATTACTACATAAAATTTATTCTATACATTGCGCTATGAGCATTGATAGTAAATGTACTGATTTTATCATAAATAAATGCATCACCTCCGCATGATATGAGTAACAGGGGAGAGCAGTAAAACCATCTGAGGAAGTAAAACCAAGGGGCTAGATGGTGGTTTTAACACTAAAGGGTCAGGAATACATGTTTGTGTTCCTGCCCTATAGTGTTAATTTAATGTCAAACTGTTTAGAACCGGTTAATCTGCCATCAGCACTCTCAGCTTATAAAAGCCAGCTAGTTGGATAAAACTGACACTGATAATGCAGACACGTTACAGGAACACTCAAAGCACCATAACCACTGTGGTTATGGTGCCAGACGTGCCCTGGCTCCCCCCCATGTAAGTAGTCAAACTGTCTAACAGTTTGACTTTTTACCTGGGGTCCACCAGACACTGTGCCTTACTTAGCTCATTAGCTGGAAGCGATCAGCCAGTGAGCAGGCCCCGCACTGCGAAGCTTAGCTCAGGACAGATAAATGCTCGTAGCAAAAAAAACCTTACAGCTCGCCATAGTAGAAGAGGTGAGGGTGGAAGCAGCGCCCAGCAGACCCTCAGCTTACCCCCTGGGGGTTTGCCAGGGAACTCTTGGTACTATAACCACTACAGCGTTCATTCGTACTAATCATAGTTTGATAGCCTCTAGACTGTAAGCTTGTTTGAGCAGGGTCCTCATCAACCTATTGTTCCTGTAACATTTTGTAATTGCCTCATTTATTGTTACATTTCCCCCTTTTATAATATCGGAGTCCAGAATAAGTTGGCGCTATATAAATGCTTAAAATAATAACATACCTGGTGACTGGGAAATAAGCTTTCTTCTACCTGATTTGAATATTTAAAGGGGAACCGCCACAACTCTGACCTTAAACATGCCACTGTAGTACCTATCCTGAAAAAAACATCTCTTGACCCGTCCTCCCCCTCTAACTATCGTCCCACATCCCTGCTCCCTTTTTCCTCAAAGCTTCTGGAAAGACTTGTCTTTACCTGTATTTCTCACTTCCTCAATTCCAGCTCTCTCCTTGAACCTCTTTAATTTGGCTTCCGTCCTCTCCACTCTACTGAGACTGCTCTTATCAAAGTTATTAACGCCCTAATTGCAGCTAAATCCAAAGGCCACTACTCCATACTAATTCTTCTTGACCTCTCTGCTGCCTTTGACACCATTGATCATGCTCTCCTTCTTCAAACTCTTCAGTCTCTGTGACTCTGTCCTCTAGTGGTTTTCCTCTTATCTCACCCAACGCTTATTCAGTGTCTTCTTTTCTAATGATACCTCCTCCCTTCGTCCTGTCTCGGTTGGAGTCCCTCAAGGCCCTGTCCTTGGTCCCCTTCTATTTTCTCTTTATACTGCCTCCCTTGGCAAACTTATTAACTCATTTGGATTCCAATACCACCTGTACGTGGATGACACCCAGATATATCTCTCCTCCCCGGACCTCTCCCCTGCCGTCCTGCAATGTGTCACTGCTTGCCTTTCTTCCATCTCTGACTGGATGTCCTCCTGCTTTCTGAAACTCAGTCTCACTAAAACTGAGCTCCTTGTCTTTCCTCCTCCTAATACTGATCCTCTTCTCTTGCTCTCCCTTCAAGTTAGTGGTATCCACATAAATCCATCCTTGCAAGCGCGCTGTCTTGGTGTCATACTTGATTCTGGCCTCACCTTTGAGCCTCACATCCAGTATATTGCCAAATCCTGTAGATTCCATCTTAAAAACATAGCCCCAATCCGCCCTTTTCTTACACAAGATGGTACCAATGTGCTTGTCCATGCTCTAGCAATTTCCCGCATGGATTATTGTAACCCTCTCCTAATTGGTCTTCCCAAAAGCCGTATTGCCCCACTACAGTCTGTAATGAATGCTGCTGCCAGACTGATTTTCCTCTCTAGTCGGTCCTCTCACACCTCACCCCTCGGTCAGTCCTTACATTGGCTTCCTGTATCCTATAGGAGTCAATTTAAAGTGCTAACCCACACCTATAAAGCACTGAACAACTCTAGCCGCTCTTATATCTCCTCACAGATCCATAGGTATGCCCCTTCTCGGTCTCTCTGCTCTGCCCGTGACCTTCTCCTGTCTAGACGCTTGCATTACTTCTCGCAGGCGGCTCCTTTCCTATGGAATAGCCTGCCTACCGCCATCAGACTCTCCCCTAGTCTTCAATCTTTAAGAAGTGCCTTAAAACCCATCTCTTTAGTAAAGCTTATGGCCTCCCAGAGTAACCTCTACCTAATGGCAGTGCTCTCCTAAATGGCAGCACTGTACTCTCTCCTCCAACTCTGCCTCACTCCCACCTTATTTGATTGCTATTTTCTGTCCTATTGTGTTTTATACCCCACCTCCTATAGACTGTGAGCTCGTTTGAGCAGGGTCCTCTTCAACCTATCGTTCCTGTAAGTTTTCATGTAATGGTCCTATTTATAGTTAAATTCCCTCTCTCATAATATTGTAAAGAGCTACGGAGTCTGTTGGCGCTATATAAATGGCAATAATAAAAATAATAATAATAATAATAACATGGCCAGTTCCTCATACTTCGGTCGGCAAGGAATTATCCCAGTAGGCCAATACCAGCCTGAAAAGCATTTAGATTGCCAGTCAGCATCCCGTGCTAAAACCCACACAAAGGCCCCTGCACAAATCTTACACGTAGTCTCACTCCTACACCACTCCGCTCACAGCTATCCCAGAATTCGTCCTGCTGCTTTTCATAAGCAAAAAAATGGAACTCTGAAGCTGCATCTCACAAAATCTGTAAATTTGAGATTAAGGGATCTGTAAAATTAAGGGATCTGGCCCATTCTAGCCATCTCATGCATGCAGGGCCGCCATCAGGGGGTGACAACCATGATGGTTGTCACGGGCCCGACGGTCCTGGGGGACCCGGACTGCTCTGGCAGGCCTGTGCCCCACTTTCCCTCT